AACTTACCTGTTAGGGCCAGACTCCTGGGTCCGGGGTAGAGCTCAAGGCTTGGAATCATAATGGATTCCTTTAAGGGGATACGACCAAAAAACCTAGTATCACACTAAGTCTTGGCCTGTCACACAGGGCTACTGCTTGCTCTTGCCTAAGCTCTGAAAGGAACTGTCTCAACAGACCTCCAGTGGCAAAACCCTGTTAAAGTGGGTATCCTAGGATACCTAAGTGGAGTGGCGCCCAAGGTGAATGGGGCTAAACCAGCTCAAGAAAGGGGACGAAGCAACCGCGCAAAGCCCTCACCGTATAAGATTTTAGAAAAGAACGCAAAGAACTAGCATGCGAACTTACCACAATGTGGATTTTAGAAAGTGCACAAAGCCTTCACGTGCACACTTACCATAACATGGATTTTAGGATACAGTTCTAAGGACCGAGACGGACCAGGACCCCTATGTTGTTCGGGCTCAGACCTGGACTTTCGTGGAATGAAGGATTTAAAGGCTGCTGAGCGCACCTTCGACTCCCTGAACTTCTCGATCACCGTCTCAACGGAGGTACCAAAAAGCTCGGAGCACCGCCGTAGTGTGCAACGAAGCCACAGCCTGACCTGCTGCTGCGTATGCCCTGCCATTTAAGCGCGATGTATCCTGGAGGGGCTTAGATGGCAAGGAGGGAGTATTAAGGGAGGATGTCTCGCCCCAAGGAGAGATAGCTAGCCAGCGTCTCCTCTACAGGGGGCATCCACTCATAGCCGTTTTCACGCATCGCCTCGATTTGGCATAACTCGTATGCTGGAATTGGAAAAAAGAGACAAACGAGAGCGGAGCTTTTTCATCGAAAAACGCCCACAATGCACACAAATCGCCCCCTCAAGGACGTTGTGTGCGTGCTCCTCGCCCAAACAAAAAACGCAGAGATCGTGTGTGTCATCAGGTGTCAAATAGCGACGACACGGATGCCCACACCCTCTAAACGTTCTGCTAGTGCTCGCCATAATATAGATAGTAGATCGCTCTTACCACGTTCAAATGCACGCTTCAAACAAAACAGTCAATGAAGACGAAGAAGAGAATGACGTGTTCTCCCGGCGCCTATTTATACTATAGTCGCACCGGTAGTGACGTCATGGGCTGTCGCCGGCCAACGTGTTGTTGGTGTTTTTCAATGTATGCTTCAGACACGGGTCACGACGAGGCGTTCCCCATAGCGACCCCTAGAGGACGCAGTTCGAAGTTCCCTTGAAAGGGAACTATTTTAACAAGGCTGAGAATAGGGCACACAAGGTTAAATAGTTGCTTAAGATTAATAGGAAAACTCCAGACAGGATTATGTATACACTGTGGAGAAGTGGAAAGTGTAAAACATGTACTCTTGATATATAGGAAATACTCTGAAAAAAGGAAAGAACTACAGAGTGCATGGAATAATGGATTGAACTTAAAAAACTTATTGAGTCGGCCTGGCACACAATATATAATTAAGGCTGTCATGACCTTTCTGAAAGAAACTCAGGTTGTAAACAGGATTTAAAGTTGTTGTCTTTTTTAGAATATATATATATATATATATATATATATATATATATATATACACACACACACACACA